GGGCTTCAAGCTAGTGTTAAGACAGAAATACGTATAACTGTATATATAATTGTATTGTATAGAAGAATACGTTTATTTAGAGATTAAGAATGATGTATTAATTATATGTATTAAGAGGAACAAATTGTTAGGAATATTTATTCTGGAATGTCGCATTATGTCCATTTTTGTTTTAACTGTATTATAAATTTAAAAACTTAAAAAAAAAAGAATTGCCACTGAGCGGAATTCCCTTGGTGAAGCAGAACTTCTGGAAACGGAAATATACAGACAGGTTGAAGTATCATCAGTAAGCTTGAAATGATATGTGACAGGACATCTTTAGGTCCACAAAATTAAAAACTTCCTTATTTCCTTGATAATACCTCATGGAATGAAGTAAAGAATGGCCAAACATTTCTCCCCACTTCACTACCTTTGCTCATTTCAGCCCTCTCAAGAGTGGTATCTGATTCCCTTTTCATCTAAGGCACTTGAGCAGTGGATAGGAACATGTGGGCAGGCAAGGGAGAAAAGACCAGTCTTGTGCAAGTAGGACCAAGGGATCCTTTACTCCATCCTCTTTTGAAAGGGAAAAAGATATAAAGCTCAAGAGATCTAAAGGTTCAAAACTTCTATCTTTGGAGAGAGAGAGAGAGAGAGAGAGAGAGAGAGAGAGAGAGAGAGAGAGAAGGAGAGAGACATGACAAGAACAAGATGGTGTTGGAGGAAAGTCTAAAAGACCTTAACCATGAACTCTGAGCCGCAAAAAGTAAGATTGCAGATCCTAGAACAGTTAAAGGAAAATCAAAGTAACTTTGTCTCTAGTTTCATATGTGCAGATTCTGGTTTATATAATTCTTTTTTTTCATGCATCTTTGAACATTATTACCCAAGATGCTTCCAAGCAAGAGCAGACCATACAATCATATTTTTCTTTGGTATTATCTTTAGGAAGAATATTTTTTAATATAATGTCTGTGACTTTAGCCATGTTGTACGAATATTTTCCCTAGCAGCCTTTCATTTAACGGGAGGCTGATTAATCTGAAAAGAAAAGTTTTTATATTTTTAACAATATTTATTTTTCACTAGCTGTACCCGGCCACGCGTTGCTGTGGCTCGGTCTGGTTAAATGGAAAAGAAAGAAAAGAGAAAGCGCACGTTTGTAATATGTTTAATTTCACAATGCTAGCGTGTGTTGCTTTTACGTCCAACAGATGGCGCTGTTTTTCAAAAACATGTTTTTACCTGTCACAGGTGTGACTATCTATATAATAGTAGGTATATAAAAACACGCGCGTATTCGAATGCAACGTTGTGTCAAAATTTCAAAGCAATCGGTGAAGAACTTTCGGAGATTTAAGATTTTGAACAAATGAACATTTACATTTTTATTTATATAGATATTTATATAGCCTCCTATCTCACATGAAAGTGATTCCAGGCCACATACAGCACTTAATTAACAAAAACATAAACATAAAAACATCACAATTAAAATAACAAAAAGGCACACAAAACAGGAGAGTGTAAAGTTAACTACAGTAAGGGAGCCCTCACAAAAAGCCATCGCAAAATCTCCTCCATCCCTTGGGACCTTCAGGCCTAATAACATAGCCAGGTCTTGAGAGTCTTGCAAAACGTTGAGAGGGATAAACGGTTACTAGTTACCAGTATAAACAATTATGATTGCCAGTAAGTTTAACTTATAATTAACACTTGATTTATTGTTTCTACTCCCAGATGGCTTTTCCTCTAGCACATGCCTCAAGCTCATATTAGTTATAGAAGACAGCACTATAGTTTTTAGCTCACTTTTATCATTCTCTCATTTCTGTGATTATGGGATTCCTATCTATCCCACGCAACGGATAAAGCTGCTGTGCCAAGGCAGATAGGCAGACCAGGAGGTATAAAAAACAGAGGATTTGGGAGACCTCCTGAGTGATTGACCATTTGCCATTTCAAATGGGTACACTGGTGAGGACATTATAGTTCTGGTTCTTGCAGTCAAGAGTCAGGAACATGTCAAAAACTGGAAGGAGTGAGCCAGAAATACTTAGGGGTTGGTGAATCCTCCATCATTTCATAGGAGGTGGTTGATTGAGTAATAACAGATCCCAACTTTGGAGTAAAAAGAGAACCAGTTTGGTCTAGTGGCTAAGGCACCAGGCTAGAAAGCCAGAGACCGTGAGTTCTAGTCTCTGTCTTAGCCATGAAAGCCAGCTGGGTGACCTTGGGTCAGTCATTCTCAGCCTTAGTGACCTACAGCATTGCTGTGGGGAAAATAGAAGTGTGCTGGATATTTTTGCTGCCTTGAATTATTTACAAAAATACTAAAGGCAGGTTACAAATAAATAAATATAAAATGTATAAACTTCAGAGTAGGACCAAAGATTTTAGTTAGTTTTCTTGCCATCTCTTTCTTTGATATTGCTCATTATACTCCTCTGAATTAGTTTTGATTTTGTAAGATAATCTTCAGCTATGACAGACTGGGGAGGTGGCGTTACCAGAGATTTCTTGGGAACCACATGGTGACTATTATTCGCACAGTAAATTACTTTCTTTTCTTTTATTCATTTGTAGGTCTCTATTGTTAGCTTAACAGCGAACGCCTTGGGCTACTCTGAACTTGGTGCAATTAAATCTCTTAGGACTTTAAGAGCTTTAAGACCTCTAAGAGCCTTGTCACGGTTCGAAGGAATGAGGGTAAGAAAAATATGAAATAACATATGCTGGAAGCAAATCATTTTCTTAAAGATATGCTACAAATGTGTATCTCAAAGCCACTAATTTAAATTTCATTTAAAGTGGCCCTGGGCAACATCCTACTTCTATTCCCTTAGAGAGAAATAATTCCAATATATCTAGGCAGTGTTTAAAGGCACTTATTTACCTCATTGTCAGATTATTTATTTTCATTTAAATCACATCTCTGAAATGGTGGATCTAATACATCATTAGAGAAGCTCCTTGATTCAAAAAATCAAGAGGTTGAATAGAGACCTGCTCCATGGTTGGTGGCCAACCCAAATCCTTGAAGTTCATATGCCAGCCAGGATATATATTAATGTGAAATAACCAACAACCAATTATTTCCAGATTAGTTCCGCAGATCTATCTAGCCCTTTTGATAACACACGTATTTGGAGGGCCCACATGCATACATTTCTAGGCTAACTCAGAACTGCAGCTATTTGTTTTCTTGCTGTATTTTCAGGGTAACATATTAACCAGATGGAAAATTATTTTCATAAGCCTCTGTTGCTTCATTATGGACTGTCCTTCCCATCTAGCTACAGAGACTATATGGAGGAGATAATTGAGCAATGTAATGATGATAACATCGAGGGTTATTTGATATTTAAATGCTAATATTTCCTTATAATTCATTTTCCTCTGACTTGCAACTTGGTTCTCCAAATGTGTGAGGAAAGAGTATTTTTAGGGTTAGGGTATTGATAGGATACTGCACTGGAGTTATAAAACCTTCAATATATGTTCTGCCACATATTATGGTCCTTCCTCTTCAATTTTGTGAAGCTAAATTCTGGAAAGTCTTTCTTCCTCAAATCTTTCCCTAAATTTGTAATTTTCTTTGTAGTCTATTATTACCATTACTGCCTTCAGCTGAGATTAAATTATAGCACAAAATTGCCAAGAAGCAAAACTAGGAATTAGAAATTTCCCTTTTCCTATCTCACTTTAGCAAATATGTTTTCACTTCTTTGGCTTCATGTGTTTATTACTTTGTATTACAGGTAGTGGTGAACGCTCTCTTGGGAGCAATTCCATCTATCATGAACGTGCTTCTTGTATGCCTTATATTCTGGCTAATCTTTAGCATTATGGGAGTGAATCTCTTTGCTGGCAAGTTCTACCACTGTGTTAATACCACAACTGGGGAAATGTTCAGCATTGATGAAGTTGACAATCAGACTGAGTGTGAGAATCTCATTGAAAAAAATGAAACAGCCAGATGGAAAAATGTGAAAGTCAACTTCGATAATGTGGGACTTGGCTACCTCTCTCTGCTTCAAGTAGTAAGTAGTTGTTCTTCCTATATTAAAATTTGAACAATGCAACCATTTTATTTTTCTCCCTTTAGCACAGTGGTTCTCAACCTGTGGGTCGGGACCCCATTTGGGGTCGATCGACCATTTCATGGGGGTCTCCAAGCAAGGCTGTCCGCCATTTTTCCCCCTTTTCTGGCGGGTGCCTTACCTCCCTTGGGCTGGGCCAGCTGGTGGTCGGCCTACTCCGTCTCTGCCGCTTGCCAGCTACGCCTCGGCCGGCGCAGGGGGCGGAACCACGCATGTGCGGCGCTCCCGGGCAGGGAAAGTCCTCGACTTACGACCAGTTGGGTAGTCCTCGACTTACGACCGGTTTAGTCCTCGACTTACGACCGGTTTAGTCCTCGACTTACGACCGGTTGGGGTCGCGGCATTAAAAAGGTTTAGAACCACTGCTTTAGCAGGTTTTTCCTTTATTAGAAAATTCCATCAATGTGAACAGTCAGTCACTTTACAAATGATTCAGCTGCCAGGTTTTGAAATGGATTGATTTTGCATCGTACGTGGCATTCCTTAATCTTTCTCTTCTAAGCTCTTCTCTAAAATACACCTGCTAGCAAACTTTTTGCATGCCATATAAATTATATCTTATCCATGAAATAAATGATCATTAGTAAAATGCAGAGGTGCCTGTGATAGGTCGTTTATTTATTTCACTATACCTGGTGCAATCAAGCTATCTGACTCATCCCTATTTAATAAATAGAAATTATCCATAACCGGAGAAGAGACCATTGGATATAGAGAATGGCTGTTTTTCAGAGCTGTACTAGGCTAGCAATGGTGGCTAGACAGAACGCAACTCTGGGTGAAATTCAACACGGCCTGATGGGAAATTACCTGTCTTTTTTTACTTCCTGTAACACAATCTGGTACCAACTCCCCAAGAATTCTCCTGAACAGATTTTAAATATATGTGGGTTGAAAGACATATTTTGAAAGAGAAAACTGGCAGGGGGACATGGAGTCTTCTAAAAGACATTTACAATTTACACAACAGGAACATTTAGGAATTGTGTACTGTGTGCTTTTATTCCCTTGCTTAAAATATAATTGCCTGACTGCTGTTTGCAGGCCACCTTCAAAGGCTGGATGGACATCATGTATGCAGCTGTAGATTCACGAAATGTAAGTAAGCTATTGGTTAGGGAAACCAATACTGGACTGCAAAAATACGATTGACTACAAGACGGAAGCAAAGACATATATGAAATTTGCATTCTTGCTACCATCTTGTAATTGCCTGGTAGACCAAACACAGAGGGTTTTACTACATGGACACTTGCCTCCAAATCCTCCATAGCTACTCATCAGATCAGCAAGTGTTTCCCCAGAAGGGTCCAATTCTTTTTCTCATTAAAGCTAAGTCAGGCAGGATTAAAGCAACCTTGCCATTGATCATAGAGTTTGTCTGCTTTCTTTTCTTTTTCAAAGAGGCAAGGCAGGTAGGATGCTGGGATGAGAAGGTTATGGCTGGAAGATACTTCTGTGTGCTTGTTTGTTTGTTTGTTTCCCAGCGTATTTTACCTTAGAGGAGAATTGAAGAGGTAAGAATGGAGTCATAACCTCACCTCAGAAAAACAGAAGTGACAATTTTTAGGAGGTAAAATGGATGCCATAAAGGCTTAGGGCACCCATTTTTGCTATTAAATCTTCCAACTCTTTCCCCACTTCTTCAATGTAAGTAAAGGTTTTAAAAATGGGTCTCAAATACTCCAGTGTGCCTAAAGCCCAAGAGGAAATACAGGACCCCTTTCCTATCAAAGGATAATGACTGGAAATAAGGTCTATGGAGATTCTCAGTCATCCAGGTCATAGTTGTCGCAAAGATGCTTTGTCACGAGGCAGCTGGATTTTCTTGTTTTTCTTTGAAGATGTTTCGCAAAACGTCTTCAAAGAAAAAACAAGAAAGTCCAGTTTGCTCGTGAAAAAGCATCTTTGGGACAACTAGAAGTAATAAAAAAAATATTACCTTGTGCTAGTTATAAAAATTTCAAGTAAAAAAGAAATGACTCAATCCAGTCATAATATTTCCCATTCTGATCTTTAAAAAAAATCAGACTATCTTAGCCATAGATAATTCTTAAAAATTTTCATTAGAATATAGACTTTAATTTTTTCATTGCAATACATGAGTAGCTGATGCAAAACGTTCCCAGAATAGGAACTATATGAATGCATACTTACAGTATTCATCTGTAACTATGATACAGGTCAAGAATACTTCAAATACAACATGATATGGAATACAATAAAAACTAAGAAATAAAATCTAAAATATTGCTTTGCACATTAAGATCAGTAAAAAAGAATCTCAGATGCCTTTTATCTGATAAAGTTTTCTATCATAATTTTATCCTATTTCCGAGAAGCAAAAAGAAAAGAGAATCAGATGTCAGAAACACACAGACACACACACATCAACATATACTTTTTGTTTCCTTATACTTTTGTGTATATGTGTACATGTAGTTTCAAGAAGCCAGACGAGTTATAGTTCCATAGCTACAAATTACACAAGCTTCATTGCATATAGTAAAAGAAATGTGTGATGTAAATGGGAGATCTCCTTTTGTTGAAATGACTGTTTCCAAGAAACCAGTAAAACTCTTTCCCAATGACTGGTCCCAATGAAAAACTGCGGCCACATGCTTAAAGCTAACATTTTTTAAATGCATTAACATATTGTATCATAATTGGCAGAATGCATAGGCTCTATCTCATCCAGAAAGTCTGTTTCATTCATTTCCATTTGGTTTCTTCTCACTTTCTCCTAAGCTCAGGATGTGTCTTTCTTTTTAACTACTACTTTGAATCTAAACACCTCAATTGTCTATTAGCAAAAGCCATGTGCTCTAGCATGAAATCTACAGCAGTGGATTTTAGAGAGGAGAGCAAATAGCGAAAAGTGAATAATAACTGAGAAGAAAATGCTTTAGTTGAATAGATACATAGATACTCTATGTAAAGTTAAAATAAAAATTGGTGAATTTCTCTACGCTGTTCTTAATAACTGTTTCATATAAAGATTAAATATGGTAAGGCTTGGCCCAGGGTTCACACTTCATAAAAATAATACCCATAAATTTTATAGAATTGAATAGAACATTTCCTGTTTAAAAATTTGTTTCCCTTGCAGGTGGAAAAACAGCCACATTATGAGGATAACCTTTATATGTATCTTTATTTTGTCATCTTTATTATTTTTGGATCCTTCTTCACTTTGAATTTATTTATTGGTGTCATTATAGATAACTTCAATCAGCAAAAAAAGAAGATAAGTATTCTATCGCTGTGATTTCAGAAGACTATCAGAGGTTTTATTTTAACAAAAACATTGTGCTTTGTGTATTTCATCTGATTTTTCTTTCTTTCAAATATGCAACTATTATTCCAATGTGTACATCCTAAAAATAAATTGTAAATATTAATTCTAAAATTGCCAGTGTAAAAGAGGAGCATATGGTGTGTTAAAACCAATACATGAAATGAAAGATTTCCACCATGAGTTAGTTTTAAAGGAGGGAGTTATATAAACAATTACATTGTAAGATAATGTACTACTTCATATAAGTATGCATAAGGATCTCATAAATCTAAATAATAAATAGTTATTCTTGGTCATGGCTTTCTGGAAACTAGCAAAAGATGAACACTTCTGGATGTCCTTTGGGATGTGATCCTTTTCCATACTTATCTTTTTTATCATGCTTTTCATTTTTCAATATGGGCTTTGGGGTTTTTTGTTTTTTAGTTGTTGAAGGTATTTGTATTATGAGAGCTGAAAAATATTTTTTTTTCAATTGTTCCTTTATTTATTTCGTAACCTGGAGGTTTTATTATTTTTTGTTTTTTTCTAACTATAGATGTTTTTATTTTATGGGGGGGTTGTTATAAGATACTGGAAATTTAGACAAAAGTTTAATACATGATGATAATGACGGCGACAGAAATGATGATGGCAGTGCTGAGAGACTACTGTAGTAACTATACTTTTTCAGTCTGCTGTAACTTTGCTGAAATTAAATTCCTGACCTTAGCTGAACCATGGAAGAAGGATGCACTCTTCTCTACCCATTTAGGGAGCCACCCCTAACGAAGAGAAGCACAAGGGAGTAGGTGTGCTTACAGATGGAAACTCTGCACACTTGTACATGCATACATACAACATCAACCCTTGTACAAAGGAGCAGAGCTTGTGTTTGGGATTGCTCCCACCATTTTGCCCTCCCCCACTTGCTCGGCTTTTGCTTTATTAATAGGCAGCCCAAGGAAAGAGATTTGTCCATCAAATAAAAGTCAATGTATAGAAAAACAGAAAGAAAAGGGGAATAGAAATGTCTGGTTGTAACTAGTTTTTGTTTCTCCTTTTTACTTTGGAGGTCAAGACATCTTTATGACAGAAGAGCAGAAAAAATACTATAATGCAATGAAAAAACTGGGCTCCAAGAAACCACAAAAACCTATACCCAGGCCAGCAGTAAGTGTTATGGGGTGTTTTTTTTTTCATTGTTCTCACTGTTTTTGAAAATGCATGCTAGAGTTAGAAAACAATTTACACCTTATAACCCCCCCAAAATCTTTTTAAATTAGTAAACTGAGGAAGAGGTGGGCCCAGGTCATGGCTCAGTAGCAGGCTGCACCTTGGGGGTTGGAGACCCTTGGATTACTCTACAGTTTTCAATGGTTTCTAGCTTAAACACTTTGGGGGGGAAAAAACATGTTACAAACTGTCAATAATCACGCCACCAAAATTGCGCAGTACAATTGGAAAAGGTCTGAAGGCTATGCTCCTTATATTTAAATGAGTTTAGAGCTGACCAAACCAATCTAGCATTAACAAATCAAAACAGGGTTACTGCAGTAATTGTTACGTATTCCTATCTGATTCAGGTATTCAATGAGACTGTGAAATCCCACAGGAAAGCTATTAATGGATATGCTTCATATTTCATAACTTCACACTTTTGGAGTGTTAACTGACTTTCCGGGAACATAGTGGTATTCTGTCTTGCTGCACCTTCTGTCTATGAAGTTTGGCTAGTATACTGTACAATGAAGTTTATAGAAGTTTCAGATCATAAGTGATAATTACATAGATTATAATTGTCTATAACTGATCATGAGATCTATGAATAATCTTTATTTTCTTTAACTACAGAACAAATTCCAAGGCATGGTCTTTGATTTTGTAACAAAACAAGCCTTTGACATCAGCATCATGATTCTTATCTGCCTTAACATGGTTACCATGATGGTAGAAACTGATGACCAAACTGATGCCATGGAAACTAATTTGTATCGAATTAATTTGATCTTCATAGTCCTTTTTACTGGAGAATGTGTCTTGAAACTGATTTCGCTCCGCTATTATTATTTTACAATAGGCTGGAATATTTTTGATTTTGTGGTTGTCATCTTATCTATTGTAGGTAAGAAAATTTTCATTGCAGTAAAAGATGTAACAAGTTGATAAATGAAAACTATGAGTAATTAACAGATGATTTTAATGTTTAAAATAGTTTTCCTCCTTTACGTTTTCATACAAGATTGTAATTAACATCTAGTTAAAGTTTTAAATCTGCATTTCAGATTAATAGACATTTAATGTTTGTTTATAGGTATGTTCCTCGCAGAGATTATTGAGAAATACTTTGTGTCCCCCACTTTGTTCCGAGTAATTCGACTTGCCAGGATAGGTCGAATCCTGCGTCTGATCAAGGGCGCAAAAGGGATCCGCACTCTGCTTTTTGCCTTGATGATGTCTCTCCCTGCCTTGTTCAACATTGGTCTCCTCCTTTTCCTGGTCATGTTCATCTATGCTATATTTGGAATGTCCAACTTTGCCTACGTGAAGAGAGAAGTTGGCATTGATGACTTGTTCAACTTTGAAACTTTTGGCAACAGCATGCTCTGCCTCTTTCAGATCACCACCTCTGCTGGCTGGGATGGCCTGCTAGCACCCATCCTGAACAGCGGGCCTCCAGACTGCGACCCAGAGATAGACCACCCGGGTAGCTCAGTCAAGGGAGACTGTGGCAATCCTTCGGTGGGGATTTTCTTCTTCGTCAGCTACATTATCATCTCATTTTTAGTTGTAGTGAACATGTACATTGCTGTCATTTTGGAGAACTTCAGCGTCGCTACCGAAGAAAGTGCTGAGCCTTTGAGCGAGGATGATTTTGAGATGTTCTATGAGGTCTGGGAAAAGTTTGATCCAGATGCAACCCAATTCATAGAATTTGCCAAACTCTCTGATTTTGCAGCCTCTTTGGATCCTCCTCTTCTAATACCAAAACCAAACAAAGTTCAGCTTATTGCGATGGACCTGCCCATGGTGAATGGTGATAGAATTCACTGCCTTGACATCTTGTTTGCTTTCACCAAACGTGTCTTGGGTGAAAGTGATGAAATGGACGCCCTCCGCATTCAAATGGAGGACCGGTTTATGGCCGCCAACCCTTCAAAAGCCTCCTATGAACCAATCACCACCACATTGAAACGAAAACAAGAGGAAGTATCTGCTGTTATTATTCAGCGGGCCTTTAGGCGCTACCTCTTAAGGCAAAAAGTTAAAAAGTTTTCCCGCATGTTTAATAAAGATAGAATTAAAGAAGGCAACGATACAGTTATCAAAGAAGATATGATCATTGATAAGCTAAATGAGAATTCTACTCCTGAAAAAAACGATATGACTCCCTCCACCACCTCTCCACCTTCCTATGATAGCGTTACAAAGCCCGACAAAGATAAATATGAGAAAGACAAATCAGAAAAAGAAGATAGAGGTAAAGATGTCAGGGACTATAAAAAATGAGCAAAATGAATGATTCCTTTATGACAAATTGTTTACAGTTTGAGAAAGTAAAGTATTATTTCAAAAGGACTCCTATAGGAGGTTTATGCCAAACTGACTGTTTTTGCACACTTAGACAGACATACACACACATAAAAATATCTATAAATATATTATGTATGTATGTATATATATGTGTATATATATATATATATATATATACATACAAATGTTAGCTATATACTTAAGGTCAGTGCCTATTAACAAGATAGTGACCCCTTGCCAATTCAAATGCTGCTCTGTAAAACAGGATGGCACTTTTGACAGGCGGCTCCTGTTTGCATTACCAGCTGACACTGCTGAAGAGGAAAGAAAAATGGCTATCCAGACTGTAGGGAATCAGTAAAAGAGGTGCGAGCCTAGAATTGACCTGTGTTGATCATAAAACACTCAGAAACAATAACCGTATCCGCTGTTTGCATTTCAACTGCCACACGTTTGCCATATTTTTACAAAAACCCATGTCGGTGAAGTTGTCATTTTTTTAATCCACAGGTTGTTTACTATTATATGTGACTATTTTTGTAAATGGGTTTTATGTTGTGGGGGGTGGGGAGGGGGATTCCAGGGTCCGGGGGGGGGGGAAACGGAGGACCGGCTGTCTGATTCTCTTGTCGTGTATAGGCAGAAGTGACTTGCATGAAGGCATGCTGCACTTGTACACGCCGCATGGAAACAAATAGGACTTCTTTGCGCAGGAGTTTCAAAGACTTCTATGCTTCAGGATGGCTCCAGATTCCAAGGTGCTTAAAAATAATATAGATCTTTATGTCTCATCCTGATAATTCTTATGTGCCTGTAAGTCTCATGAAATCAACAGTTCAACTCAGATGTTTTTCCTCCCCCCCCCCACCACCTCACGCCCTCCTCCTCCAAACTATTCCATTACGAAGGTGACATGAACATTGACTACGGTGTACATCCACGCATACGTACTTGATCACCATCCCTACTGAGTTCAGGGGCCATACTTTAGAGGAAGAGCGTATACAATTGTACTCTTAATTGTAAAACTGGGTGGAACTAATGGGAAGTATCTTCTTAAGAATCCTGGAGCATCCCTTACGTTAATCTGGAGCACTGTACTCTCCAAAAAGGGGGACGGGGGAAGTCGGACATCCGTAAGTTAGTTTTTACTTTCTCCTCCAGTATTGTTTAGCCATCTTCTGCTCTCAGCAAGGTTGACATTGTATGTGTCAATGAGATAAAGCTGTCTATGTAAATAGTTACTTTAACCCTGTGGTGCATGTTTGAGCAAAGGAATAATGACCCTGTGCACAATATTTATTGCATCAAATATGTACCACAATAAGTGTAGTTCGCAAACCTTGAACAGGAAAATATGATGTATTCTGTACCATTATAAGTAGCTTGGAGGCTATCACTGATGCATGTTGTTTATCTTGCCTTCGCTACTGTATTTTTCTTGGATTTGTTCAGAAATCTAATATGGGAAGCCATACGTTGGTGGCAAAAGTGAAACAAAATTGTTCAATCAGACGTCATTCCTCATTTCATCAAGCAATAGTTTGCAGCTAGTGGGGGTGGGGGTGGGGGCTGGGAGGGAGGGAGGGAGGGAGGGAAGCTTCTCGCTCTGCCCTGACTTCTTTGATTCTTCTCTGGAACTTTATGTGAGTATTATACAGTGCGTAGCCAGCTGTACACTTCATATTGCAAACAGCATAATCTGTTCAGAATAACTGGTTAAACGTTTTCTAAGGAAAAAAAATATATAAATAGTGTACAAATTTCATTCAGTTTTATTTTTCAGCATTTTGTACATAAATGACAAAACTGATTTTCAGGTCGACGTCACGGAGGGTCCTTTTATTCATCGCACTTTTTAATTGAAGAATTTCACAAAGTGGGGAAAAAATACCGAAAGAAGGGAATGGGGTGAATGTCAGGTTTCCGGGTTGCTTTTTATTTATTTATTTATTTAATTAGTACTGTATTTTTGCACACATCTTAATGTGATTTTTTTTTCCCCAGACTGAGTCCAAAATGCACTTGCTTCCAAATAGCTATAACGTGTAATTGAAATGTGGTGGGAAAGATTTGTTTGAAATTCTAGCACTGCCTGCATCAGCAGTTAGTCTTATTATTCAACATCCTTAATCTTTTCCAGTGTTTGTTTACATAGACTATTATTCTTCTTATTGATTCATGCTGCACTAGAAGTCTTTTAAATATTATACGCAATGTCACAATGATTATGTTTTTCCCACAAAATTAAGTATCTAACTTGTATATCTGATCCCATCAGGACATTTTCTTTTTGTATTCCATCCACAAAGAAAAATTAAATGTTAATTCCTCCTTTTACTGAAACTGTTGACTTTGTGTCTTGGTGAACTGCATGCAGGGAAAATTCTATTACCATAAA